CCCTCATGAACCCTTGATAATTTATAAATTATTTGTTTTTTCATGTCATACACTGACTGCTATGTGCCATCACCCACTTTTCTGTTCATATCCCTGAGTGGTGGTGGTGGTAGTTATATGTCGATCATTGTGATCGGTTCTCCCTTTCTCCCTCCACCTTCTATCTACCCTCCTGGTATCACAACTCTCATTATTGGTCCTGAGGGGTTTATCTGTTCTGGATTTCTTGTGTTGAGAGCTCTTATCTGTACCGTGTACATGCTCTGGTCTGGGCAGATTTTTAAAGTAGAAGTGGAGTCATGATAATGGAGGGGAGGAAGCATTAAAGACTGAGAGGGAAGTTGTATGATTCATCAGTGCTAAACTGCACCCTGACTGGCTCATCTCTTCCTTGTGACTCTTCTGTGAGGGGCTGTCCAATTGTCTACAGATGGGCTTTGGGTCTCTACTCTGCCCTCCCCTCATTCACATCAATATGATTTTTTGCAGTTAGCAGCTAAATGCATAGACACCATGTACTTTAGTTTGAAACCAAATCAGAACTGCCATGATGACTAAACAAGCTACCTTCCCCCACTAAATACTCCTAGGGGTAAACCTATACCGCCTGGGCCTTCCATGAATTTGAATGCAACCACTTGGACTTTTTTAGTACCTATTCCAAACCCTAGGCTTTATGAAAATGTATCAAGTTTTAGGAGAACATAAGGAAAATGTATTCATCCAACTTTTCATTTTATCTTAATTATCAAATACTCATGGCACAACAGTGGGATAACTGCATAACATTTAAGGCAGGTAAACAGTCATGTGCAGTCTTAAAAGAGTCTTTGGTCAATATTTAGCAAAAAATTAGATTTTGTTGTCCAGTCTCCTTTTTAACTTCTCCCAACCAACCTACATTTACCATGAACATTAGTCAAATATGCCGTTAGATGAATTTAGGCCTTTCAGCTCTTTCTCATGGTGTGTCCTCTGCCTAGGAAAAAAAACCCAGGCTTTGAATGAGCTGGATATTGAGTTGGGACATTTAGCTTCTGTGTAAATTCAAATTATTTATTCCACTACTTTATTCTGAGATTCTTTATCTGAACAATAAGAAGTGCTATTTGGGCCATGTAGGATTATTATGAGGACAAAGTGAAATAAAAAGTGTGAAGGCCCCTAGTCTGGGTCCTGACAACTGAACATATCCAACATATGTGTGTTTGTTTCTTCTTCTTCACAGTATCCCTGCAAAACCCTCTTACTTTGTGATAGATTTCTCAAAAAATATAATTTTGGACTAAATTTAGAATTATGAAAA